AATTTCTAAAATATTTTTCAACTAAGCAAAATATTTTATCGTAGGTTTTTTGATAGGATATATAGTAAAGTAATAAATATTTTTGGATGAGTAGCATAATGATTATTGGGATTAAATGCACAAATATTGAATTAATCCGTATATGTAAGGGGAGAATTTATTTTAAAAATATATTTAATGTAAAGGGAGGCAACTGCAACGTATTACTCTTACACGGTATTTTACTCTTTATCTAGAAAATACAATAGGTAAATATTGAATTCACAACTTTTAAGGAGTATAGCAATCATAAAAAACAACATGCATATTTCAACACAAAAATGCACATCAAAGATTTAATCAACTACATTGTATATAATAAATATCTATAAATAAATGAAACGAAAATGTAATCTTATTTCCTTCAAAAATCTTGCAGTTTTAAAGTTGGAAACTAATTTCATTTTTGTATCATTAAACGGGAAGAAATAGTTGTACCTCCGCAAATAAAGTTTTGATATGTATATACTCGAATAAATCTAATCTACCGATGTGCATTGTAAGCGCAACTTCCCCCTAAACGTCTGGGCAGATATTTGATGAAAATTTCCACAGTTGTATAACTCTACCTGATAATGTGCAGAAAGGATTATTATCCCAGTCTAACATGTTAAAGTTGAGAAAATTAAATCTCCTTTCTTTCATATACAAATACGATTGTACGATAGGGTATCCTTTTTGGATTCACTCACTCACAGATCCAGTCTTTATTGAAAAGTAATATAAGATATCCCTGAGAGATATATTTCATAAAAAAATATATCATGCATATAAGTGAATGACTGTTATTGTTTTTTTTAACTCATATTAACATGGTTATTGTCATCACTTGGCTCGTGACTGTCGTAGTCTCTTCGTACATTTTTTCGACAACAATAAAAGATGGGTCAAAACTGTAAGATCAGCAATACAAAATATATTTTTGACATGTGAGCTATTCATGCTCTTATGAGACACTTGTTCATTTTAGGTAGCTTGCAATATTAGTTTGACGAACAAAAACCCCTCTTATCCGAAGTATGCAGGAAAAATATTCTCTCTCGGAAATACATGACAGACTAATAGCTGCTTCTGAATATAGTATTATGTTTCTACCCTAATTCAATACTCTTATCCTGGAAATAAGAGTGAGTTCTCATTTGACGGAGATTCTACCAACAGCTGTTTTTTTTTTCTTCAATAGATATAAGAAGATGTGGTATGAGTGCCAATGAGACAAATCTCCATCCAAGTCACACTTTGTTAAAGTAAACCATTATAGGTCAAAGTACGGCATTCAACACGGACCATTGGCTCACACCGAACAGCAAGCTATAAAGGGCCGCAAAAATGACTAGTTTAAAACCATTCAAACAGGAAAACCAACGGTCTAATCTATATAACCACATCAACAAACGACAACCACTGAACATCAGGTTCCTGATTTGGGTGCAAACAAATGCAGCGGGTTTCAACGTTTTAATAGGCGCCAACCTTCACCATACCTGAAACAATAGTGTTACATCACAACATAGAGTGGACTATAAAAATGCAATTCCTCCGCCCCCGCCAAACCCTCGGCCCCAGATACGACTCACTATATAGAGATACACTAAAACTTGTTAACACGTAATTAGAATACGTATTTATCTGACAAATTAAGTCTGTAATAAAAAAAAGGTTTTGATATTTCATTCTATGTGGATACTTCTCTCAAATAATTTTACATTTTGAAAGGACATTCGTGTGGAGAGGATAATTCTTTTTGAACTAAAAACTTTCTCTACCACACGTATTAATTAAGAGATACAAATTCATATAATGTTACGACTTTGTTATACTCATTAATTTAGATGATATCTTCTTCATCTAAATTGGTCTGGCTTCAGTCTGCAATTTTTTTATGTCAATACTCTTATCTCGCCAATATTTTATAAAAAGAAAAGTGTGTTGCAGTGAAATGGAGAAACAGGGATACATGCGATGCTTTCGATTGTGTCTCCTTTCTTTTCAAAAAGAAACATTGTTTCTTGTAATCTGGGGAGGAAAACTGCTAACATCACATATTTACACATATAGACATGAAATAATTACCCTTTGAACTGGCAGTCGTTTGGACAGGATATTTCCTTTATACCTCTAAATTGTTTGCAAGACATGTAAAATTACAACACATTTAACAAAAACACCATTAAGACCGTATTGTCTTTTTTAGATTATACCTTGATGTGAATTAGTCTAAAAATTTTAGCCTGTAATTATTTTTTTTTATGTTGTAACTCTTATCCCGGAAATATAGCATAAAGAGAAAATAAATTTTCCATTGGATAGTACAAATGATGCTGTCAGTTGTCTTTCCTTTCTGTTACAATATTGTTTCTTATATTCTTTGCAACTGCTCACATCTTAATTTTTGAATACTCAAAGGTTCTAAACGGACAGTCGTTTGGACAGGTTGATTCCTATATACCCTCAAATATATATATATTCGTCACAATACACAAAAATAACGATAAAACAATGCAATATTTTTTTGATAATGCTCTCATCCGAAAAAGTATGAAAAATTTATCCTTCAACTTTACCTTATATGTAAATACCCTTATCCCGGAAATATGTTATGACGGGAAAGTATTTGTTGCAGGGAAATGGGTAAGCAGTGGTCTCCTTTTTTTTCAAATTGACACAATGCAAAATTCTTATTTTCGAGAAGACTGCTCACACCATACCTTAAAATAAACTTGAACGTTCTATAAAAGGAAAGTCGAGCTAACATAATGATTGGTTTATACATAATTAATGGTTTATACCCCAAACTTTGTGTGCACGACATATCAAAATACGACACAGTGAACAGAAATAACAATTAAACAATGTGATACTTTTTTTTTTTTAATATACCTTTATCTAAATTGGTCTGAAATTTAGCAGGCAATTTATCTTTATACGTCGATACCCTTATCCCAGAAGCAAGATATGATGGGATGACATATGTGTTGCAGGGAAACCTGGTATTAGCTGCGATACATTCAGTTGTCTCCCATTTTTTTCTGAATTGACACAGTGTTACTTATATTATGAGAAAACTTTTCCTTTCTGAAATTACTATATTAGTTCTGTTATAGAAGTCCCCTTTCATATAAACCTCAAAACGTATCAATACGACACAGTTAGCAGAAATAAAGATTAAACAATGTGTGTAATACTTGTTTATATAAAGAGGTGGTTGTAAATTGTCATTTTAAAAGTTTTTTTTAAATGAGATGTATTTTGCTAAACTTTTTTATTCGGTATTTCATTAAATAAAAAAAATACATATATTTATACTAATCATTGGCATTTTTGCAAAAACAAAATCATGGAAATTTAGTCGATGAACTGAATTTTAAAATCTATAGAAATAAATAAGCATTACACAGTACATTTTCATCAGTTTTATACGGCCGATGACTGTAATAATAGCATATGATTTATATATTAAATAAATCGTATGTGAACTTGACACCTGTTAGAACTTTTCGAAACGCAAAAGGTATACAATTTACATCAGATGATAACCTATGTGTTCGAAACGCGATGCTAGATTATAAGGTCATTAATGGCCGCTTTTCCTTCACTTTTTTTTTGTTTAAATTTAAACTAGAACACACCCGCGAAATCGCGGATATTGAGAGCTTGGTTGAAAGTATGTAAACTGTTGTAGGATGAATTTTTGTAAAAGATTTTATGTCTGGAAAATTTCAGAAAAGGTATCAAACTGAGTCATAGGTACTTGGAGACAGGACAATTATTTTAAGCCCTTTCCTTTTTTTCCAAAGTCCGTTATTGTTTTGCTCTCTGTTAAATTCCATGGTTTTTGCGTTTCTGTATACTATGAACATACATATAATATAAATAAAGTGTATTTGCTATTAACTATCAATTCCAAGTTTCTTCTCCACGGAATGTGAGCTGGTTCCTATTTTAATTTGTTCTTATGGGGTAACAGATACACGGGAGACATTATTTTAGATCTCCACAGCTACTATTCTTATTTCAGTATTAGTTTAATGGAAAGATATCTAAATTTTAAAAAATACATAAAAAATGACAATTCATCAAATTTATTTAATTAATTTACCATCTCAAATAAAAGAACTGTTTATTGATACTTTTAGACATATGTACTTCATAAATTGAAATTTCCAGATAAGAGTATTTCGTAAGAGTAAATTATCGGCATAAAGGTTATTCTAGGATAAGTGTATGGCATACGTAGAAACCTGTAAAACTATATGACCAAACGAAACATGAAGAAAGGCCAAAATTCATCTAACATAATTATCTGCTTCAAGACAGAGTGGCATATCTTGAAAGAGATTATGAAATTATTCTGAAGCCATAGCAACTGTTGTTGTGATTTCATGGCTTTTGGTATATATATAGATATATTTATTGTAAACTAACAGGAAAATTTCTGTAAAGAGAATACAATAGGTTCATTAATAGGCAACAGTCGTTTTCTGGTTTTTTAATCTCATAAATCCATTAAGAGTATAAAATCAAGGCCAAAAACATAATCTGAGATAAACACATGAACTTCAAAAATAAGCGAGACTGGGTGCGTCGACAAGGTAAACATGTCCTGCTATGCATGTATCACCCGCCATGAGAATCACACTAAGCAAAAATGTCCTAAATCGATAAATCAACACAATCGCTCAATTTACATGTTAGTTTACTATTCTGGTATCTAACGATCTAACACCGCAAAAACATGTTAATATGAAAATTCCAACACTGATATAAACTTTACATTTGATATCAAATAAAGGGTACATCTAAATGACGTCATACAAAGTAAACATAGAAAAACTGCATACTTCTATTATACCAGCTCTCACCCTTGAAACCAGACTACAATAAAAAAAAAAGTATTCAATTTATATATACATATTTCAATAGTATGTATTAATAGATTATATATGTATATTACAGCAAAATATAAAATGACGGAAACTGGTGAGGAGTCTGCTGCTAGTGGAAAATCAGCTGCTGGATTCACTGATTATGATTTACTCTGCAAAGGTGATGTAAAAGGATATTCATATAATCTTGCAAAACTGTTTGATGATATACCATGTGGGAAAAGTGAACATAAGCATCCTATAGAATTTGACATGGCTTTTAAAAGATCGAAACGTAAAATCAATGAAACAATAAAGGAAATACAAATACAATCAGAGAGAAAAGTTATCAAATTTACTATTGGAAAAACTTACGCAAGGACCAGAAAATCTGGAAAATTTGACCCTATGAGACCAAGCTCTTGGCTACTCGATAGTGGCATCAATGGACGATGGAAGAACGAATATGAAAAACAAGGTTACGATGGACTAGTCGTGATTGGCTGTATAGTTCTCGATTTAATTCCTGAAAAAGTTCATCAAAACATTTCCTGGATTGACCAAGAAAAATATGCATTAGGACTAGAGCAAGCACTTATTCAGTACTATACATTACACAAGCAAGACGCAAGGCTTGGAAATAAATCATTCAATACGGGAGGTGATGTGCAGAATACACCAAAAAGTGGTATCATATACATGGCATACAAACTTGAGAACCCTAAAATAGAGGTAAGGGAATATCAATTAAGATGTATGAGTATGTAGATGTGGTAAAATAGAGGTAAGGGGATATCAATTAAGATGTATACGTATGAAGATGTGGTAAAATAGAGTGCACATGATATCAATTAATACGTATACGTATGTAGATGTAGTAAAAGAGAGGTAAGGGGATTTCAATTAAGACGTATAAGTATGTAGATGTAGTAAAAGAGAGGTAAGGGGATATCAATTGAGACGTATAAGTATGTAGATGTAGTAAAAGAGAGGTAAGGGGATATCAATTGAGACGTATATAAGTATGTAGATGTAGTAAAAGAGAGGTAAGGGGATATCAATTAAGACGTATAAGTATGTAGATGTAGTAAAAGAGAGGTAAGGGGATATCAATTAAGACGTATAATTAGGAGACGTGGTAAAAGAGGGGTAAGGGGATATTAATTAAGACGTATACGTATGTAGTTGTAGTAAAAGAGAGGTTCGGGGATATCAATTAAGACGTATAAGTATGTAGATGTAGTAAAAGAGAGGTAAGGGGATATCAATTAAGACCTATAAGTATGTAGATGTAGTGAAAAGAGAGGTTAAGGGATATCAATTGAGACGTATAAGTATGTAGATGTAGTAAAAGAGAGGTAAGGGGATATCAATTGAGACGTATAAGTATGTAGATGTAGTAAAAGAGAGGTAAGGGGATATCAATTAAGACGTATAAGTATTTATAGAAAAGTTGTAACAACAATGATATTTTGTTTATCAGAATCAAATTTCTATCATGCGTATCTTTTAAAAAAGGCCTTTTAATAAGATAATACACAGAGTTAATTTCAGTAAAAATATGTCCACTGTGATTAATTAAATGTATTACCTTTCTGATACAAATAAATTCATTTTGGTTGATGATTTTCTTCCTTGCAAAATTTTACAAAAACGTGAAATTTGCTAAACCGTATTGAACATCAAATGTATCGTAATGTAAGAACTTTTTAATTCAACAATTCAACACAACGGGTGTCTCAAGCGGAACAGAATCTGCTTCGTATTTCGGATCAGCTCCGGATTTAATAGTGGTTCGTAATAATCAATCTTTAGTTTTCTGTGTATTGTTTTGTAAACTGTAATTTATCTCTTCGATGTTTTTGAAAGCATCATTTTAATCTTTCCTAAGGCACCGACCTCACCAAACAGATGTTAATATGTTAGCTACTTAATTTATAGATTTTGAAATGTAGTTCCTTATAACTCTCATGTCTGTTAACAAATGCACAAATAAAAAGTCAACACATTTCAGTTATACCTGTTAAAGCAGTATTTTGTCTGAAACAATCAGCAAACCTCTTCACCCGAGAAAATCGTGACATTTTGTGTTAATCATCATTACATTGACCTTAACAAAATAAGATATTTGCATATTTTAATACAGGAAGGGTTTTTTTTCAATAAAGAATGAACATTAATTTGAATAAATTAAGATACATTGTTTTTGTTGTTGATGAAAAAGACCTTGTAAATGACTCATTCTGGAATAATATTACAGATTCGATTCAATATAAATTAACATGCACCGACTTTTTACCTTATGTTTTCTGTTATTTTTAATTATTAATTACAAAATTCAATCCGTAAAGGAGAAATGGGTATAAAAACCTACATGTATTCTTGAACTTACAAATTCACCCGAAGAACAACATTTACAGGATATTTTACTAACCTAATGGTATTTGGCAAAACTTTTCGGAATTTTTGGTCCTAAATGCTTTTTATTTTTGTACGTTATGGACTACGTACTTTTTTATTCAACAGATGGTGGAATTTTTCCTTCGAGGGTTTCACCAGCCCAGTAGTAAGCACTTATGTGATGACAAGAGAATTCTTATTGATAAAAGATAGGCGAAGGATACCAAAGGGACATTCAAACTCATAAGTCAAAAATAAACTGATAAACGCCATGACTAAAAGAGAAAAAGACAATCAACAGTACACAAAACCGAACATAGAAAACCAAAGACTGGGCAACACGAACGATAAATTAAAATTAAGAGTTTACAAAAATTTGAATTGTTCAAAGTACTAAGGATTTTCTACCCTCGTAATATATTATGTAGCTGTATTTCGCAAAAGCTTTCGGACTTTTGGGTCCTCACAGCTCTTTAACTTCAGCAGCCCAGTAGTCTTCGAAATAATAAAGAATTTCTGTCCCAGGGATAGATTACCTTAGCTGTATTTGGCAAAACCTTTTGGATTTTATGGTCCTTAATGCTCTTCGGCTTCATACTTTATCTGGCCTTTAACTATTTTATTCGAGCATCACTGATACGTTTTTCGTAGAAACGAGCGTCTGGCGTACAAAAAAAATCCTGGTATCTTTGATTAGTATTTTATGGGAGACAAATATATAAATTTCAAGATTCTCGATCTATTGGTACAATCATGACAATGGCATATAAGGATAATTGTAGATGAACTAAATTTAAGTAATTATTAGGTGATTATGTCTCTTCAACAAAATATATATATTTAAAACTTAAGTCAAACTTTGCAAATGCTTATCTGTAAAACAGCTGTATAAGATGTAATCGTCTGCAATAGTACGATACCAAGCTTTTTTTTTCAAGTCTACATCTTACCTAGTGATACGATTTGAAATTATTAATTTTAATCATCTCTCCAATGGTTTAGATAACTCTGATACTATCATGTTGTCTGTTTTTTTTTCACCGACGTATGATTTTCTGTTTTCTCATTGTTAAACAAATATTTAAAAAATATACTATAATTACTGACTAATTAGTGAATTCACCAATCTACAATTATGGAAGTGGAGAGTTTTGTACAGATGTGTGGACACAAAAAGGAGGATAGTAAAACCTAAATAATTCGGATTGTGTGTGTGAGAAACACTGCAAAATAAGAATAGGTAATATCATGTTTCTTTCCGTTTCATTAAATAACTGAATTTATTATTACTTAGAAGTTAATACAAGTAGATTTTAAGTGTAATACAATCAATGATCGTGCTTTATCAGCTATCCGTGATGATATCGATATCAGTCTCGGTTGCAAAGGCTTTATCAAACCCCTAATATGTATGACATCATGTCTCGCGAAAAAAAACCCTTCACATCAAAATTAGTTGAACTAAAAAGTACATGAATATAAGGTATATCTGATATGATTTTTTCAATATCACACACCGTATAAACCCTTAACCAATTTATATTTTGATCAATAAATTATATTGATTTATCAAAACAAAAATTTAGAAAAATAAGATATCATGTGGCTTTTTCAATTTCACACACCGTATCAATATATATATTAAGAACATCAGTTGTTCGACCTGCTAGTCAAATGTGTTTTGTTAAAATTTACCTGTTCACTCATTTGGTCTTTTGGAAAATGTTGTTTGTGCTGTATTTAGACCCCTCTACCAAGAAATTTGTTTTGCTTGCACACGTATAAAAATTGCGGTATTTATCAAACGCAATCATAGGTTTGAACGTTGTTTTCAATTTAGACTTGTTTATATTTTTTCGTTTGGGTTTGTATTATATTTGCCTTCGGGTTTATATGATTCGTTCATCCTATTTTGATTCTTTCAAAATTCAAGAGTCTATCCTAAATTGAAGTAGATTATATGGCCTTCCCAATATCGTTTCGATTCCTAACATCTCTGAAGAGACATTAATTGTCGAAATCCAGATATGGTGTACAAATGTTTGCACCTCATATTGCGGTATACCATCTTTTCCGAACGTTTATTGTTTTCTGTTTGGTAATAAATTAATAAAAAGATCTATTTATATATATACAAGTCTAAATTGAAAACAACGTTCAAACCTATGATTGCGTTGGATAAAAACCGCAATTTTTATACGTGTGCATGCTAAACAAATTTTTTGGTAGAGGGGTCTAAATACAGCACAAACAACATTTTCCAAAAGACCAAATGAGTGAAAAAGTATATTTTAACAAAACGCATTTGACTAGCAGGTCGAACAACAAATGTTCTTAAACCCTGCAGACTGCCATTGGCGATTGCCAAATTAACGGATCAGCGATGTAATAAATAGATCTTAATTATAAATTTAAAACTAAACAGAAAATAATAAACTTGCGGAAAAGATGGTATACCGCAAACAAAAGGTGCAAAGGGTTTTGTACACCATATCCGGATTTCGACAATTAATGTCTCTTCAGTGATGTTAGGAATCAATCGAAACGGTATTTGGAAAGCCATACAATTTACCTCAATTTAGGATAGACTCTCGAATTTTGAGGAGTCAAAATAGGATGAACGGATCATATAAATCCGAAGGCAAATATAATACAAGCCCAAACGAAAAAATATAAACAAGTCTAAATTGGAAACAACGTTCAAGCCTATGATTGCGTTGGATAAAAACCGCAATTTTTATACGTGTGCATGCAAAACAAATTTCTTGTTAGAGGGGTCTAAATACAGCACAAACAGCATTTTCCAAAGGACCAAAAAAGTGAAAAAGTATATTTTAACAAAACGCATTTGACTAACAGGTCGAACAACAAATGTTCTTAAACCCTGCTTACTGCCATTGGCGATTGCCAAATAAACAGATCACCGATGTAATCAATGGATCTTAATTATAAATTTAATACTAAACAGAAAATAATAAATTTGCGGAAAAGACGGTATACCGCAAACAAAAGGTGCAAAGGTTTTTGTACACCATATCCGGATTTAGACAATTAATATATATAAAAAGTTGGGTATAGTGCAAGGCGATTTGGTGCCACGATATCTCAGTAGCATGAGTTCGAATCCCGGCCAGGGAAGAACAAAAAATATGTTTCCGCAAATTTAAAGATCTAACATTGTTGGGCTGTTGTTTAGACGAATTATGTATACAGAATGTATTTTCAGCCTTGTATCACCATCACTGCTGGTGATCCGATGGATAAAATCTGTTGTAGAGTCGTCACTGGTTTAGACGTACTTATAATATAATTATTTCTGCGACTGCATCTTACATTAATTTGTAGGATCCTTCACAATAGATAATTCAGCTGATCTGTAACAATTCCATCTTCATGTCTTATATATTATGTACTGTGTTACGACGCTAGATAAAAACTGACGAGAAAAGGTAACACCCGGCCACCGAAAGCTTTATTTTATAGAGCCTATGTGGTCGAGTGGTCTAGCGCGTCGGGCATAGTGCAAGGCGATTTAGTGCTACGATATCTCAGTAGCATGAGTTCGAATCCCGGCCAGGGAAGAACAAAACATTTGCTTCCGGAAATTTTACAGATTTAACATTGTTGGACTGTTGTTTAGAAGAATTATATATATATATATATATATATATATATATATATATATATAATAACGATCCATTTATGACATCGGTGATACGTTGATTTGGCAATCGCCAATGGAAGTCAGTAGGGTTTAAGAACATTTGTTGTTCGACCTGTTAGTCAAATGCGGTTTGTTAAAATATACTTTTTCACTTTTTTGGTCTTTTGGAAAATGTTGTTTGTGCTGTATTTAGACCCCTCTAACAAGAAATTTGTTTTGCATGCACACGTATAAAAATTGCGGTTTTTATCCAACGCAATCATAGGTTTGAACGTTGTTTCCAATTTAGACTTTGTTATATTTTTTCGTTCGGGCTTGTATTATATTTGCCTTCGGGTTTATATGATCCGTTAATCCTATTTTGACTCCTCAAATTCAAGAGTCTATGCTAAATTGAGGTAAATTGTATGTCTTTCCAAATACCTTTTCGATTCCTAACATCACTGAAGAGACATTAATTATCGAAATCCGGATATGGTGTACAAAAACCTTTGCACCTTTTGTTTGCGGTATACCATCTTTTCCGCAAGTTTATTGTTTTCTGTTTAGTGTTAAATTTATAATTAAGATTCATTTATTACATCGGTGATCTGTTTATTTGACATCGCCAATGACAGTCAGCAGGGTTTAAGAACATTTGTTGTTCGACCTGTTAGTCAAATGCGTTTTGTTAAAATATACTTTTTAACTTTTTTGGTCTTTTGGAAAATGTTGTATGTGCTGTATTTAGACCCCTCTAACAAGAAATTTGTTTTGCATGCACACGTATAAAAATTGCGGTTTTTATCCAACGCAATCATAGGTTTGAACGTTGTTTCCAATTTAGACTTTGTTATATTTTTTCGTTCGGGCTTGTATTATATTTGCCTTCGGGTTTATATGATCCGTTAATCCTATTTTGACTCCTCAAATTCAAGAGTCTATGCTAAATTGAGGTAAATTGTATGTCTTTCCAAATACCTTTTCGATTCCTAACATCACTGAAGAGACATTAATTATCGAAATCCGGATATGGTGTACAAAAACCTTTGCACCTTTTGTTTGCGGTATACCATCTTTTCCGCAAGTTTATTGTTTTCTGTTTAGTGTTAAATTTATAATTAAGATTCATTTATTACATCGGTGATCTGTTTTTTTGGCAATCGCCAATGACAGTCAGCAGGGTTTAAGAACATTTGTTGTTCGACCTGTTAGTCAAATGCGTTTTGTTAAAATATACTTTTTCACTTTTTTGGTCTTTTGGAAAATGTTGTATGTGCTGTATTTAGACCCCTCTGACAAGAAATTTGTTTAGCATGCACACGTATAAAAATTGCGGTTTTTATCCAACGCAATCATTGGTTTGAACGTTGTTTCCAATTTAGACTTGTTATATTTTTTCTTTTGGGCTTGTATTATATTTTCCTTCGGGTTTATATGATCCGTTCATCCTATTTCGACTCTTCAAAATTCAAGAGTCTATCCTAAATTGAGGTAAAATATATGGCCTTCCAAATACTGTTTAGATTACTAACATCACTGAAAAGACATTAATTGTCGAAATCCGGATATGGCGTACACATTTGTGCACCTCATGTTTGCGGTATACCATCTTTTGCGCAAGTTTATTGTTTTCTGTTGGTATAAAACTAATAATAAAGATCCATTTTGTTTCATCTTGTGATACGTTTTTTTGGCAATCGCCATGGCAGTCAGCTTGGTTTAAGAACATTAGTTGTACGACCTGTTAGTCAAATGCGTTTTGTTAAAATATGCTTTTTCACTTTTTGGTCTTATGGAAAATGTTGTTTGTGCTGTATTTAGACCCATCTACCAAGAAATTTGTTTTGCATGCACACGTATAAAAATTGCAGTTTTTATCCAACGTAATAATAGGTTTGAACGTTGTTTTCAATTTAGACTTGTTTATATTTTTTCGTTTGGGCTTGTATTATATTTGCCTTCGGGTTTATATGATCCGTTCATCCTATTTCGACTCTTCAAAATTCAAGAGTCTATCCTAAATTGAGGTAAAATATATGGCCTTCCAAATACTGTAAAGATTCCTAACGTCACTGAAGAGACATTAATTGTCGAAATCCGGATATGGTGTACACATGTTTGCACCTCATGTTTGCGGTATACCATCTTTTGCGCAAGTTTATTGTTTTTTGTTGGTATTAAATTAATAAATTAGATCCATTTTGTTACATCTTGTGATACGTTTATTTGGCAATCGCCATGGCAGTCAGCAGGGTTTAAGAACATCAGTTGTTCGACCTGTTAGTTCAATGCGTTTTGTTAAAATATGCTTTTTCACTTTTTGGTCTTTTGGAAAATGTTGTTTGTGCTGTATTTAGACCCCTCTACCAAGAAATCTGTTTTGCATGCACACGTATAAAAATTGCGGTTTTTATCCAACGCAATAATGGGTTTGAACGTTTTTTTTTTAATTCAGACTTGTATATATATATATATATATATATATAAATGGGCACAAAAAATTATTTATAGAAAGATAAATCATATTAATTTATCATAAAAATATTTAGAAAAACAAATCATGTGGCTTTTTCAATATCACACACCGTATCAACCATTAACCAATATAATGACTCGCGTAAAGCTCTTGTTATTATATTGTTGGTTTCAGGTTGATACAGGTGTAATATTAAAAAAAGCCACATGATATTCAATACATATATATAAAATGGGCACAAAATATTAATAAAAAAATAAATTATATTAATTTATCAAAACAAAATTTTCCCTTATTTAATCTCTAAATAATTGCAAATTCAGTACCCAGTGCTTCGCCAAAGAGTATGCATAGTTATTTATCTTTAGTCTGACTTTTGAATATACCAGGTATATATATATGTATTTGTCTTAACTTTCTTTGAAAAAATCTTTCGTATATAAATTCTAGCACCTATTTACCTTAAATTAAACTTCAGTGATTTGTTTATATTAACAATTTGCTTTATTCTTTTCAGGAAGAAGAAAACCAGGATGGTAAATGAATAAATAAATTGAGAAGTGAGGTATTCGTCAATGAGAAAGCGACCCTACAACCCCCCTCCCTGTTCCCACAAAAAAACAAAACCAAAAGTCATTTAAATGTCAACATACGGTCTTCACCAGTAGACTCTATTGTCTCTGTACGATTTGCCAACTATTAAATCGCTCCAGTTATGTTTCGATAAAAAAAGGATGTCAACGATCTGCCACAAACACCACATTTCAAAAATAACAAAACATTACTGTATAACTAGAGACAACCAATGATAATGTTTTTGACTTTGGACACACGCATGGAAATGTAAGGACTAAAAATGTTGCATTAGTTTTATAACATCCGCCTACTAATCTTGATAAGTGGAAAAACAAAAGGTGAATAAACATAACAAAAAAAAAAATCAGTGCGTAAAAAACACTATAACATGCCGATAATATAAAAAATTACAGTGTCAGAAAAGGTAGCATTGAATCAAAACCCAAAGATGTTTAACCATCATTTATGAAACTATGCTGCACTACACTGTATTTGGCGGTCTTACTTTGAAAGATATTTCATGCAGCAGAGACATAAAAAGAAGACAAGGACACGATCTAATGTGATGCTCTGAGTAAATTTGTTCAGGACTTTAATACAAAAACACTAAAACCAACTTAATGTATAAAAAAATTCTCCGAAAAATAAACAAATCTATATACAAAGACTTACAAATTTTAAATATACAACATATCGTTCCGATATCCTGACTTAATACAGGCACAACATGTGTCTGGGTTAAATCATTTTTACGTGCGCACAAACATCCCATTTACCAATTTTTACCACATGTCATAAAAATTAAAGTTTAACAAGCAATCAATTTGAAAAAGGGGTTCACAATTTATCATCAAGAAACCACATAATTTGGATTTTACCAACAATCCATGTATGAGAATTTCAATACGTGTGAAGTGATCTGACCAAAAAATCTTAAACATGACCTTAAAAGAATAGAAACATTGTCAACTTTGCCTGAGGGAGTTAGGACCTTATTTTCCTAATGATGTTATAATTCATCAACTGAGAATTTAAAAAGGATTGACATATATTATAACAGTACTGAAGGACTGCTTACTGATCTTCTGATACCATAAGGCATTAAATGTCCATCAGCAGCGGTTTCGACCAAAGTCTAGACAAGGAAATTAAAAATTGATATAGTTTGTGCAAAGTTTTCCTCAATCCACAAAATTAGCACCAATGAACATAAATATATCCACAGTAGTTTGATTGGATTTCACTTCTTGTATACTATACCTGCGTAAACATGCAGAAGGATTGGGCAGATAAAAAACAGAAGAAAACTATTTTAGAACCATGATATGTAAGATTGAACCCTTAAAATAAATGAAATATGCTTTTTTGTATTTTGGAATACAAGTGCTCTTTCAGAGCGAACAAACTTTCTTTTTTTTTCTTTTAAGCTGTTCATGATTTATAAATATTCCATTTTATGTTTGCAGAGAGCACAGACGAAAGTAATTTGACTGAAGCTTCTGAAACTCTGAAGACATTGTTGTATAAAAAAAGAAAACTGATTCTTCGGCGAGAATATTCTAATTGCAACGATTCATTATATCGTGCTTGCAGTGATCAGTTAGAACGACGCGAGTTTAGATTGAACCACAACATAACACCCGAGAGCCTCAAACAAGCAGTTTTAGACCAATTAAAGTTAGATACGGTAAAATTATGTGAAAATATTAAAACGCATTACTAGTTGTACATTCCTAAACTCCCCTTTTTGAATTTTCCTTAGAGTTCGGTATTTTTGTTAAAACTTTTTTCCTAATATATACCACCATTGTTAGAGTAATCTTTTTCCTGAATTGCATTGAATGGTTTGTTCTATTAAACTAAACAAACTATTTCTCCGTCATTGTATTAAAAAAATTGTCATGTTTTAACCTGATATTTAATATTTCTGGAAAAAATATAACAATCAATGGTTAAAGTCCATTAGAGTTTCATAAATTTTCAAAAATAAGTTTAATCAAAAATCAATTTTTCATTTGTGGTAGCTTAATTCATATCCAATAGCCGGATACGAACATGACGAATACTGACAGATTTTTGACGTTTGTCAATGATTTAAAAATGGCCATTAGATCTTTATAGTTAATATGTTTTTAAGAATCCAACCTATATAGAGGGAGGTACTGTTCATTATCATAGTAGCCATTCAATTGTCATTAGCACTGCTTTCACTTAAATACAAAAGAAAAAGTTTTGACAAAGATTATCACCAGTAATCAAAGAAGCAGTAGCAAAACCAATTACGCGAGAAGAACATTATAGTCACTCATCATGTGAAAAATCGATAGTAAAACAATGTCGGTGACGATACTAGGTAAAAGTTATTTCATAACAACAATCGAACATTTAAAAGATATTATTTGATAAACTGTGTTAGTAGAAATATACATAGGAATTCACGATGTGGTATGTTAATAATTTATCGAAATAACTGCATTAGAAGCTTGTGAAACTGACATGTGAACAATGATAATCTTGACTGCCTATTGACACAATGAAAATTGGAAAAACTATCGAGGATCTTTCAGCTCACTAAATTTTGGAGTGTTCCACTTAGTCCTAAGCATGTTAAAATTTCCCAAAATTTATTACTAGTAAAGTATTTACTGATCTCTGATCTAGCTGCGTACCGAATAACGGATAATTGACATGTTCCAGAGAAGTATACAGCCAGTAGAAAAATAAAGTGAAGTTGGTACTCCAAAAATGTATTCGCATATCAACATTTTAAACCAATTTTAAACAAAGCTCCTATAGCCTGCTGTACTCGTCGTTCGTTATTTTAGGAGGAAAATGATAACACTTTATGGGAATTTTGTTTTTATTTTAATTCATTTTTATTGTTACTATATACCAAAATGTTTTCTTGTAAATTAAAAGTTAATAGCGTCCTGGCTTCAACGGAACAAACAATGAAAAGATCAAATGTTCTGGGTTAACAGTGGAGGTAATGTTTTGACACTAGATTTTCACTGTGAAGTATGTTGTTTAGAATTATGAATAGAACACCTGGCCAATTTCTCTCATGTTCAATTCATTAATTCCATCACATTTCATTTACCTTGTTTATAAAGGAGTAGGTTTGCGAAGTGTCTATATTGGCCATAAAACTCTGTGTTAATTAAACTCAGTAATAATGATAAAGATCTGATGATAAAATATGAAACAAAACTGTCCTACACATATAAAATCAACAAGTTCTGACACATAAGAACACTTACGATGTCATTATCACGTCATGAATGAAGAAAATCATAATTTTGACTTTTTGTTGTTAAATATTAATAGTTTTTGCTTCAAAAGATATTGGCCACATGCATGGACTACCACGATTTATTGTTAGGATGTGTTTCTGAATCATATACATCTTTTTAAAACAAATTTAAGTTAGTCGAAGGGTGTGGCCTTTTTTTTTTAAAAAAGAAATAGAGTTTACATAAAACAGGAAATCTGACTAAAATCCTGAAATATCATACTTTTGTAGTTGTTAAAATGGTTAAAATAAATTACAGATAGAAAAAGCGTCTAGTTTATATCAATTTACATATTTAAGATCATAATTAAAGGTTTTTAATATAATATTGCACGTAGAATTCTTTTGGCCAAATTAAGGTCTTCGTTGTCATATTTCTTTTTGGCGCTAAACTTACGGACAAAGTTTTTATTACTGTAGCATCAATTCTGAATTTTTTGTCATAATTCGTGTACTACATGAAAAGATATAAAATGCAGAATAGGAAACGTAATTAAGAAGATCGTAATTTTTATACCTCTTTCCTGAAGAATTAATAAAAAGGCAAACGAACTACAAGAAATCTTTTTTCCCTCCTGGAAAAGTGGCCTTAAATAGTTGTGGCTATTCTTTTCAATACATTGTGTTATACATTTCATTTCCATAGCCATACTTTTGCATTTTCCTCCATGCTTGCGTTAATCATGCATTAATTATATGCCTATAGTGTTGGCTCTAAGTTTTCCCTGACGCATCTGTAGTTGAAGTGCATTCCATGTCAAAATAAAAATAAGGAATTGTGGTAAGTTTGCAAAAATTAAACAACAAAAATACCGAACTCCAAGGAAATTCAAAACGGAAAGTCCCTAAACAATTGGCAAAATCAAAAGCTCAAACATGTCAAACGAATGGAAAATACTGTCATATTCCTGACTTGGTACAGGTATTTTCTTATGTAGAAAATGGGGAATTAAACCTGGTTTTAAAGCTAGCTAAACCTCTCACTTGTATGACAGTCGCATAGAATTGTTTTGTTATAAATTAGGCCGTTAGTTTTCTCAATTGAATTGTTTCATATTTTTCATGTCGAGGCCTTTCATACATGTAGCCGACTATATGGTATGGGTTTTTCTCATTGTTGAAAGCCGTGAGGTTAACTATAATTACTTACATCAATTTCATTTGAACTTTTGTGGATAGTTGTCTCATTGGCAATCATACAACATCTTCATATGCTTATACTGCTATAAAAGGGAAGCAATTGGTGCCCATAGTAATGCCAATAACATCTATAAACCTGTTGAATGTAGCTCTGAAGATTACCTTTCCCAATCATTGTCTATAAATATACTTTGTCCAATATGTCGGCTCTGAGGATTCCTTTTCCAACGTTTGCTTGCAGCTTAAATTTTACGAAATGTTTGTTCCAACCATTGCTTGTCCCACTTGTTGGCTGTCAGCATTACTAGTGAAAGTTATACTAGGACATCGTATCAGACGCATTGAAAGCAGTCAGTACGAATTGTATTTGATATAAGTTGCAGTAAGGTATTAAAATGTATAATATGATTTCCATTATAACTCACTGGAAGTTAAACCGACAGTTGTTATGCTGTAGAAGATGTTTAAATTCTTAAACATGTACATTTGGGAACGTTTAAAGACATCAATTCAATGAATTTCGAACTGAAAATCAGAAATGTGACAATCAGAACGAATGATGATCTATGCGTTACACTCTTACACAATACGTGACGATCAAAAGAAGGTTAGTCACTTGTGTAATTTTTAATTAATGAGGTTTCATTTGCATGAACCTGTTACTGATAGCGTTTTCTTTGTTTTCATTGACCTTTAAATTGCTAGTTAAAAAACTTAAAAGAAAGGTTTCAAAACACTTTTGGACTTTATTTTATCTCTATATTCGTTTTTTAACACGTTATTTGTATATATCGGTAAGTAATTTGGGGATCCGCACGTCTTCCCCTAAGCAGATGTTATGTTTTGCTTTTGTTCCGTTAACAAGAAATAAAAATAAAAAAAAACAAAAAAACTAGAGCACATATTTTTCAACGTTTCTTTGGATGTTGATGACCCCTAGGTCCCGAGACATTGACAAGCCGGATTAAATTTCTCGAAATGGAATTTACTTTATTTTACAGCTTAATATGGATGCAAATGCATAAACTTGTAATGATTTGCACCTTAAAACAACATGAATTGATGAGTAATGCAAAATGATGTGAGAATGTATAAATCCTTCAAAAATATATCAAAATGGGGTCCAAGAAGGAAAATAATTCTTTAAAAGAGCATTCATTGCATTATTTGAAAAAAGAAAGTTTAATATATCATCAGTTTTTGTGGGCTGCAATAACACAACGAACAGCAATGTGAGACGAATCGAGTCATGGGCACCACTACCCATTTGTTTCATTAGGTATTTTACGGGATTATTCAGCATTATTGGTTCAATAGGGGTACACATAAAATTACTCAGTAAAAGTTCAATGGTTTAAATAATATGAATTGATTGATAATCCCAAATGAATGCAAATAAGTATAAATATTAAACAATGGGATTACATAGGAGAAATTGTTGAATTATAGAGGCTTAAAGGTTTTAATTGCATTTGTTTGAAGTTTCTGCAGTTATATTGGTTTAATACTAGGTTAGTCACGGTCGTGAGAACATACGCGCGTTTTAAAAAAACTGCCCACAAGGTTTAAATTGAATTTTGGGTTGAAAGACTGCAAATAGAGTTACATTATAATAATTTACAAATAATTCCAAGTGTTTGTGAATAGGTATACATCCTTCACCATTCGACACACTTCGACAGATTATAAATTTTTGTTGTAGGGTTTCCGGAATCTGCCGCCATTTTGACGAGTGCTTCCTTCATGAATATTTTGCAATGATGTTCGAGGAGAATAAATAATGTATCACAGAGAGTCATACGGGTTCAAATTACAAGATTAATCCCCCCCCCCCCCCCAAAAAAAAAAAAAAAACCAGCGGTATTATTGGTATGATGCCGATGGACCTGCTGCGTTTGTCTGGTTAGGAGAACCTCAGTCCAATATGTTATGGGATTTGCTTTTCATATTTGGATTCAGTTTTATTTCACTGAAGAATGTGGGTATATCAACATTTGTGTTAGTATCCTGCATACTGTTACATATATCCTTTTGATGGTTTTTCGTTCTTTCTCATTACGTTGTTAGTTTATTTTCGGTAATGAGTTTGAATGTCCGTTATCTTTCGCCTCTCTAAGATATTATTATTTGTAATTTTGATACATTGTCGTCAGTTTGAATATATTGTAGTATTTACAGGATATAAGCATTCTATGTAGCATATGCGCATGCATTAGAACGAAATTACAAAATGTTCAACATTTGAGTTGAATATTGTCTCTTTATTGTCAGGTAGTAGACTTAACCCATGAAAAAGCAAATGCTTTAGTTGGAGATATCGAACACAGAAGGTTCGTCAAAAGTGATATCCCTGTAGATATATTGTCAGAGCACATGAAAAGGAAAATTATTGTCTATACTAGATCGGATGATATTGAAGAGAGAACATATGACAGTAAAAGTAGACGAAGTCCACCACTACTCCTGGCAAAAGAAGGTTCATACTTTTATAGTCTTGGAGAAAGTAATGACGAAGATACTTCAGAACCTAATAGGTCTTCAATCAGTAAGTAGTCAAAGTAATCGTTTAATATCATACGCAAAACCACTGAGTTGATGGCATACTGCAATGTCATTGTCCCACTATCCGTTTGTAATTTTCGCTACGTAGTACTCATCTACAGACGAAAAGAGCGTTTGGTATACAAAAATATACGCTTGGTATCTTTATTGAATTAATTCTTCCGCAGATTTTAAGTAATCAGTTGATAAAATAATTAAATCTTAAAAAATAGCTTCTGTAAATCGGTAGGAGTTTTTATTTAGAGTAAATGAGGAACAGAAGGGGTAATCGTTAATGTAGAACTACTTACATTCCTCGCAAATTTTCAATAGTATCGACTGAAAACCCATTGACAAATGAATACATTATTGATAATATATATTTAATAAGAAACTACCCCTTTACAACGTTGGCACCTACATCCAGGGTATGCGTCGAATAGCATATAGAAAAAATAATGTACAATGAAATAAAATATACATAAGACACAGTTGCTTCATTTACAAAATCGAAGACCTGCAAGTGAACATTTCACTCAACAGCCTTTTACTAAAAATGTCCACATGTTTGTTAACATTTGGATCAACATGATACGAATATTCACCTAGCAATATGTTTATTTTTTCGTACGACAGTGACTCTGTGAATCAAAATTCGGGGAAGTCAGTACTTAGGTACTCATTGATATCGGCAAAATACTTGTTTCGTATTAGAGTACATTTAGAACATAATTTACATTCGAGTACGGAGTGTTCCACGGACTCCTCAGATTTTAACATGAACGCATTTGACAAATGAGATTCTCGTTCATATTCATTCTATATAAAACCTGATTTATACATGTTGCTGTTTGTTTTTGTTGCACTTCAGTGTTCCAGTTGTTCCTTTGTGTTCCTCTTATAGTTGATGTGTTTGCCTCGGTTTTAGTTTATAATTCTAATTTGTTTTCTCTCAATCGATTTATAACTTTTGAACACCGGTATACTACTGTTGCCTTTATTTACGGGTAAACAGTTCGTTTGTGCAAGCAATATAAACCGTGTAGACTTATAATCGAGCAAGCTTTACAGATAAGACTGTCTACCAGGCGCAAGGTTAAATCTAGAGAATGCAGTTAGACTGCTTTTATTTCTTATAACTTGAAATTCTCTTTTACGAACTAACTTTCCAAAACTGTTTGAATATATTCAAGTTAACATTTGAATTGTAACAATAATCTAGACCAACCGTATTGAATACATTTTCCATATACTATGAATATCCCTATCCTCGCTGCAGTGTTAAACCCTTTAGCTCGTCAAATATAATTTCACATAATCTATTCTTATCTAGGTCATGAGTTCTTGCGATATAATATAGAATAGTTGGTTTGATATATGTTTGCCTAATATAGGCCTTCACAGGTTTCGGTTTTATACATCCATGGTTTTCAAATGTTTGGGTTTGAGAGTTCCTGATGAAGGTAATTCCAGAAAACCGCTTTAGTTATTTTTTTTGTAACGGTTTCTTATGTTGTTTATATTATTTAGTTTTGTCATTTCTACGTTTAATTATGCTGTGCGATCTTTATTGGGCACTATCGGCTGGCCAAATTTGTTGACAGTGAATTAGTCTCCCATAGAATCTTATCCTCGGCATTCATCTAGTAGTTGTATTACAACGTTGATTAAATCATGATTGTGACTTTTACATCACACTCAAAATCTCATTTATTTCATTGCATCTTTAAATAGAATTAATTAAAAATAGACGTGTTAGTCATTTATACGTTGTGTACATTTTTACAACTTCATATTTTATAAACAAAATTTACTATATCATTAAAAAAAGAAGTTTTGTTTTGTGAAAACCGTAGAAATATGTACTGCCTCTAAAAAAACATCGTATCGTGACTTTATATAAACCAAAGGGGTAAACACTCACCAAAAGCTTATCATTTGGTACGCCAGACACGCATTTCGTCTACATAAGTCTTATAACTTCTGCGCGAATCAAAACGATCACACAACCAAAGCAAATATTATGAAGTTGAAGACATTCATAACCGAAATATCGGAAATTGTGCCAAATGTAGTTACATCAATCTATATCTGGGGGTAAAAAGACCTTCTCGTGTACAGATTATGAACATATCCAAGACATTTTTTGTCAGAAAAAGTGCTGACTACTGGGCTGATTATACCATCGGGGACGAAACGTCAACCCTCAGAGACATCGACCTACTGGTTGGAAAAACTCATCAAAATATCTAGCGTATGATTTGGTACGTCAGATGCGTGGTTTGTCTATATAATACTCATCAGGGGCACTCGATTCATAAATGATGCAAAGCAAAATCAAATATTACAAAATTAAAGATCATTAATAACAGAGAAAAAGTAAATCAGAAATGTTATCTAATTACTACCACATTTGTATATTATAAGTATTGTAATTTTCATTGTTATTAATACATGTTATATCAGCATTACAAACCTAATCTTGAACTCTATCCTTTTTTTTGGAAATTTATAGGAATTTATATGTGACGTCACATTGTGCGTCGATCTCTTCGGCTACCATATAATACGTTGTTCGGCTGTGCCTTTTTTATGTGCTGATTTAGGTTGTTTTCCGTATTCGTTTTTATGCTGTAGTTTGTCACCACTGCGTTGTTAACATGTATATCCATTATATAGTCATTTTTATAAATTTACTGTTTGCAAAAGTATGAATTATTCTAAATACTAAGGATTTTCTTATCCCAGGCATATAACCTTAGCCGTATTTGGCACAACTTTTTGGAGCTTTTGGTCCTCCATGCTCTTCAACTTTGTACTTGTTTTGGCTTTCGAACTTTTTTGATCTGCGCGTCACTGATGGGTCTTATGTAGACGATACGCGCGTCTGGCGTATTAGATTATTAACCTGGTACCTTTTGATAGCTATTATTTGTGTGTGTCTCTGTCCTGTATGTTCTCCCATTTATTTGTATTGTAGTCCTGTCATGTAATCTTGTCATTTTAATGTTATATATAACATTGCCATAAAAGCGGGAGCAGGTTCAACCCACCATTTTTTCTTAAAATGTCCTGTACTAAGTAAGGAAAATGGCCATTGTTATATTATAGTTCGTTTCTGTGTGTGTTGCATTTTAGTGTTGTGTTTCTGTTGTGTCGTTGTTCTCCTCTTATATTTGATGTGTTTCCCTCAGTTTTAGTTTGTAACCCGTATTTGTTTTTTTCTCAATCGATTTATGAATTTCGAATAGCGGTATACTACTGTTGCCTTTATTTGTGCATATTTCCATTGAGACAATCCATATATTATTGTAGAAAAACTTAACGTATTGAATATTCCGACATTTTATAAAATTTGGGGCAGGGCTTTGAACGCTACTTGTTGGTTAAAATATGATACAAATTGAATATTGCTGCTAATCATTTCATGTGTAATTCAAAAATGTGTTTGTTACACAGATGACGATGGATATGTTCCAATTGTAGTAACCACCATCCCGTCCTCTTTTCCTCGAATGTGACCAACCGAACTAGATCTATCACCGGGTCTATATTTACACGAGGAACACAACTTGTGTCACATGTAGAGCAAGATCTACTTACCCCTCCCGATGCACCCGAGATCGCTCTCGGTTATGGTGGGGTCATTGTTGCTCAGTCTTAGTTTCTATGTTGTGTTTTTTGTACTGTTGTTTTTTATATTCGTTGTTTTTCTTCTTTTGCCATGGTATTGTCAGTTTCTTGTCTACTTAATAGTTAAAATATCACTTTGGTATCTCTCTCCTCTCTTTTAACCATAACAGAAAAAAGATTCCAACTGCTGTACTATTAGCAAAATTTCGGTAACTATCGTTTCGAGGAGATAAAAAACAAGAAAAAAAAAAGAGAGAAAAAAGAAAGCAGGTACTTACAAAATTTTGTAACCTTCCTTACAATTTGGACTTAATCTTGACAAGTTTTAACCACAGGAATTGTACACAAAAGGTGATACTGATTTCAACGCCTATTTAAAATAACATTCTAGAATGTTTGTAAGCTAGCTCTGGATTTCAGAACAGTTGATTCCTCGAAGTGTGTAACCATCTTTTCACCGCTCGTAAGGCTGACTTACAAATATTCAACATTTTGGCCGAATTTGTTATTGTGCAATCCAGTCATCATTAATGCGGGAGACATTTAATGAAAGTTAAAAGTAGTTTTAAGTTGAAATTTAGATTTGTAAGATATTTAATGTTCAAAATGGTCAAGCGTCTTGAAAATATTTCTCACTCCTGTTTGATTCTTATGTTTAAAAAAAGTCAATATTTTTTTTTATTTCTTTTTTGTTATTCTAAAGTAAAATGATACGATGCTAAGGAGGAAATCAAATTCAAAAGTCAAATATACACCAGTCTGAAACGGAAGTATAAAAATAAGAGGACAAAGCAAAAGTACGTTAGAAAAGTAAAGATTCGGAAGCACAACCCCTGCATAAAGGGCTATAAACTCAGTTGCTTCGAAAGGAATAGCCGTTCTTATTCCAATGGTTGTAGCTGTCACATAACGCCAAAGTCAGTGAAAAGCTGATAATAAATGCTATCTGATAACACTTCGTCAATACCAAATTCAAGTAAATTTCAAAACACAATGAAAAGACCAAATGCAAATTTTGGAGTCCCATGGATAGACAAAGACACCTCCAATAAAAAAAAAGACAGACTTTGAAACGTAAAGTCTCGAATGATTCTTTAAGAAGACGGACAGTTAACACAAAAAATAAATCTTAAATATGCAAGTAGTTCTTGGTGCACTTTGGCACGCGTCATGATAAGTTAAATCATCGGATTTAATCGTATTGATACACGAAGAAAGTAGGGTTGTGGCTATGACTGGTTGTCATCTCTGACACAGCTTTTTTTCGTAACAGTAAGTATATAATTTATTTGGTTTACTAGTTTAAAAAAATATTTTATTTATTTCTTATTCACTAAATGATATGCATATATATTTGTCTCATTGACACTATTACCACATCTTCTTATATATATATATATATATATATATATATACATAACATAAACGTTTTATATCGTTTGATTTTTTAGTATTATATTAATATAATCCTTTCAAATAATTAACAGAAAGAAAATCTGCTAGTAGTATCATACCACACGAAAATGATGCAATGACATCAAAAGAAATGGAAAGGTATACATATTTATTTTCTTAAATATTCCTGTCTTATTTGTATCCCATTTTATATCCATTTTCATAAACGCATATGTTTTTACTAGAGCGTAGGTCAACACGATTACAATAGGAACCCGAGTAAAGGTTTGTTCTGTACTGTTTTTATTGTACACATTTTAATGGCGCGAGATGTAAAGAGGTTGGAAAGATTGGTTTAAAAGAATACGATTAACCAACTTACATGTTCTTTGGCAACTCTCAAGACTCGTGATTATATTGTAAGTAGTTTTCTTTAGTTATATCTTAATATTGTAGTAACAGGAATTACTGATATTTATTTTATTCAACAAACTGCAGATGAAAAAATTGTAAGGGAAAATATAAGTGACTTTACGAATATGAACGGAAACTGCTCATATTATGACATTTGTACCTTATACAATTTCTATTTTGTTTTGCAAATGCACTTCCACTTGTTTACGGAGTTTGTATTCGCATGGCAGTTGGTGCTGGCATATCAGGAGACTCTTACCTTTCAACGCAACTGTATTCGTTAATTTGATCCATTTCTTTTTTTGTTCTTACATGTATTTCTCTTATGGTTGAGGCCTTTTATCTCATGCATGAATAATTTAATTTTGGATGTAACGCGTCTTCCGATTGGCTGACGTTGTTTTGTTTATCAGCTCATAGACATAATTTTGTCATGAGACCGCGACGTCATCAACGTTTTTCATGATTTACTCCGGTTTAAAATGGAATTAAGAATTAAATTATAAGAAATGACTGTAATATTTTTTCTGTCTATTGGAAATAACATAAAAAATGTGGTGCACACTTTAAAATAACCCGCTACGCGAGTTATTCAGTGTGCACCACATGTTTGATGTTATTTCTTCATAGACAGAAAAAATATTACAGTCATTCCTTAAATAGATATTTCTATTATCACACTCTACGGAGTGTGATACGAAAATCTGCGTTAATTTGATTGGCTCATCCAGCATCATAAGACAATATCACGACACGTCCATTGGCTATTCGTTAGGTCATTGATGACTTTCAAAGATTAAGACGATGTACATTTCGTCCATTGCAACGGACATCTGTGATTTCTTCAATTATATACAAAACATATAATCTTCTTTTTGTCAAATTTATTACATTCTGAAACGTACAAAAAGTTTTAAAATGTCTGATGTTAAAGTTTGACACCGGAAAATGGCATATGACGTCATACTGGCATGTGCAAAAGACTAGATCAACGATTCGCGGAATTTATAATTTAACACAATGAGAGTATTGACAATAAGAGAAATAGGTTTAACAACTTGTGAGAATTGGATATCGCTTGATATCAACTCTCGTTATTTATTTTAAATAGTAATAATAAAATCGCCGAAGGCTCGTTTATTATTATTTTGAAATTAAATAACTCGAGTTGATATAAGGTGATATCCAATTCTTACTCGTTATGAAGCCTATAATTATCTCCTCCTTATCGAGATTCGAACATTCGTAAACTACTGTTGCCTTATTTTTTCAATCTTGTTTTTACTTTATAACATATTTAATATAATGGCTAGGTTTCAAGACCCCTCAACATTGAGAGCGGAATCCGTCAAATGGTCTCCCGCGAGTTCTATAATTTTCGTTATTGCTGTTGAAATTTTAGCATGTAGATTAAGACAAGATAAAAAATTTAAAGGTTTTCAAATTAAACTAGATAATAAAACCCATAATTTAAAGTTAAGCCAGCTTGCGGATGACACCACTTTATTTTTAAATTCAAAACAGGAAGTTTCATTAACTTTGAATATTATCGAAATTTTCGGATCACTTTCAGGCCTAAAGCTTAATCGAAATAAAACAGAGGGAATATGGCTCGGCAATTTAAAGTCCTGCAAAGATAAAGTTGAAAACATTAAGTGGACAAAAGAACCGATAAAAGTTTTGGGAATATACTTTGGACCTAATAGGAATGAGTGTAAAAAATTAAACTTGCAACGACAATACGAAAAATCTGAAAAAATAATTAAAGAAACTTAACTTTGTTAGGTAAGATAACTCTTGTTAAATCATTAATCCTACCGAATATCACTTATGTTGCATCATGAACCGAAATTGATAAAGAATACCTAGCAAAATTTAAAAAAATAATATATAGTTTTATATGGAACAATAAACCAGAAAAAGTTAAAAGAATTATAATAAGTAAAGAGTACCATGCTGGCGGCCTTAAAATGGTAGACATAGATAAATATATAGAAGCGATAAATATTAATTGGGTAAAAAAACTCGTTGACAACGACGACCAATCACCCAACTGGAAAGTCTTACCAAAATTTTACTTAGGTAAATTTGGACAAGAATTCCTTATATTTAAAATATAAATTAGATTAATAAACTAAAAGAAATAATTCCACAATTCTACTTAAAAATAATCATACGATGGATAAATCGGAAATCTGAAAAAGCATCAACCAAACAATTCCTTTTCGCTTGGAAAATAACTAAAACTCCGTTATGTAATATATGTAATGTCATTGAAGATTATGAATATTATTTTTTGACATGCAAATTTCTGAAATCATTTTGGAATCAAATAAATATATTCCCCGATAAACTTAAAATAGGACATCATATATTATCACTTGGAACACTTTTGTATGGATACAAAATAAACGATACACATTATTACAGTATTAATGATTTACTAACAATTATACTTTTACTGTATACAAAGGATATTATATATCCTAGCAAAAAAGAAAACAAGTTAATGTGTTTGAATTTTTTAAAAAGGAATTTCTTCAACATTACAAAATATTGATAAATAAAAAAGGCAAATGTGAAAACTTCTATAATTTGGTTAATTGCAGAACAAATTAATTTATCTTCTTAAACTGAAATTTATAATATACCATATTATCTTCTTTTATACATATTATTATTAGCTGAATTATTATATACATTGTGTACTAACAAATACTAACCTACTTTATATGCTATATACTAACGTTAACGAGGCCGGGATAGGGTATCGGTACTTTATGTGTCTCTAAAATGTAAACTTCAAAAAAATTATATACCAGAAAAAAAACCAAAAAAAAAAAACCCACACATTTTCATAGATTTAAGCTGTCTGACTCACATGTTCATAAACATGAAATAATGTTTCAATCAATCAAAAAATTAGATTAGATTCTCAACTATGTTTCTCTTTATCATGTAAAGATCCATTTTACTAATCATGTGACTAATAGAACGAGTAGTTGTGTTGTTGCAAATACATACTTTATAATCATAAAATAATATTGAAGATGAAGAAAAACAAGTCAGTGATAACTTTATTAAAGCTAAAATGAGTTGACCTGAAAAAATAAAGGCAATAGGAACTATATGTTTCATAGTTTACTGATGGAATTAAAAATAAATACTCTCTACGCCGGCTAGACCTATGCACATCTTGAACATGTTGAACTTAGAAATTAGGTTTTCTGTCGATTTCTAGAAAGTTTTGAAAGGCAAATAGGAAGGACTATGTCCTTTCGACCAGATTTACCATTCCTGTCATAATAATTTAATTTTGGATGTAACGCGTCTTCTGATTGGCTGACGTTGTTTTGTTTATCAGCTCATAGACATAATTTTGTCATGTGACCGTGACGTCATCGACGTTTTTTTCATGGTTTACTCCGGTTTAAAATGGAATTTAGAATTAAATTATAAGAAATGACTGTAATAGTTTTTCTGTCTATTCGAAATAACATAAAAAATGTGGTGCACACTTACGCACTACGCGGGTTATTCAGTGTACACCACATGTTTTATGTTATTTCTTCATAGACAGAAAAAATATTACAGTCATTCCTTAAATAAACTGTGTCTTTTCACAAAATCACCGTTGAAGTCATGTTACTAAAATAACCGAACAGTTGATCAATAATATTAGAAATGACGTAATTTAAAGAAAAGTAAATTAGTGACATTTATCCCCTACCACACTAACTGACCTAAAATTCCTCGAAAATTTAGCTATACATGTTAAAATTGAATGGCGAAGAATCTGTATCTCTAAGCACTTTAAATTTGTGTATAACAAATTTGTAAATACGATTACGTTTCCAGTTATATATTTATAAAAGTTTGTTGTTTCGATGTCCGTTGTATTAAATATTGAGAAAGTGGACATTGCGACTGCATTTTAATTATCATTAATGAAACAGAATAACTGTTTAATAAAACAAATGTATGACATGGGAAGTGACGATAATGAGATGTCACAATTATCAAAGCATCGAGAGGGAATTCCCAACTTAGAAAAAAAATACCGACGGAACAAATGTCCGAGCGGAGATGATTTATGCAAAAAGCACAGAAAGCATACAGCAACCTGATACAAGGGTCAAATAAATCTTAGTGCTAAACTTATACAGTTATAGAAAAAAATTCCCTTTCAACAGTTCAAGCAGCATGAAATGAAGCTCCATTTGGAAATTCCAATGTTAGAAAACGCGGAAACATAAGACAAATTTTTGACATTTGAGTTAGGTAAAATGAGTGAAATGTCGAAAAAAATGCCAAAAAAAGTCGAAAAACACGAAATATCTTATACGATCGTATATTGTTGACAAAAGTTAATAGATTAGAACAGGGTTTCAGCAATTTCCAGGCTTTAAATTCCTAAAGAAAAAAAGAAGTTTATGTATTTCTGCAATTTTTCAGACCAATTCTATACGCATGTTCAATTAAGTAAGAGATAACAAATAAGACTCCCGTCAAAATTGAAATTGGTCGATAAAACAATGCGTTTTGATCAAGTAGCAGAAAGATCCAACGGAATTAGGGAAATGGTTTTCCATCGGCGCAACAGAGTGTGGCCAGACGGAGTAAATGAGTTGAAATTCGTAATTCAGATTGAAACAGCCGAGTAATAAAAATGGAAAATGTGTAGATAATGAGTCATTGGATTATTTGCTAATGATGAATTGTTGAGATTAACCTTAGATGTTTTG